CTAGTTGGATTTTCTGATACTTGCTGTCCAGAGCGTCCTGGCTGACAGAGAGGGGCTCTAGTACGAACTCGGGTGTGTCAGGAGCTGGTACGTTGGCAGAAGCTCCCTAACGTGGGGTGACATTCAAGAAAGACCTGTGGGGGGAGTGTGTGTGTGTGTGTGTGTGTGTGTGTGTATTACCTCTCCCTCCACTCACGCTCTCCTAAACCACTATTTTCAATGAACAAAGGGACACAAACTTTTTTTTGTCTTTTTGAGACAGAGTTTCGCTACGCAGTTCAGGCTGGCCTCGAACTCGAAGTGATCCTCCTGCCTCAGCTTCTGGAGTGCTGGGATTACAGACATGCGCCACCGTGCCTGGCGAGACACAAACTTTTAAAAAGTCTGATGGTCACAGATTTACTTTTAACCTTCATTTTCATTGTGGTCCAATTTACTTTTTTTAATTAAAAAATATTTTTTGAAATTTTGTGTTCATTTTGTGACAGGGTCTCACTGTGTAGTGCAGGCTGGCCTTGAGTTCACTATGTAGCCCAGGCTGGACTAGAACTCACAGTGATCCTCCTGCCTCAGCCTCCCGAGAGCTGGGATTACAGGTGTACACCATCACACCTGGCTGATTTTCTAAATATGGTTCTGATATAACATTTTCTTTGATAGCACACTGACCCCCTCTTCTTTACAAGTGCGAGTTTATTTACGGAAAAATATCAGACAAACAACGGTGCAGGTGGTATGTGGTGACAACCTTTCTACCACCAAAGGCCCAGGCAGGCTCCAGGCAGGTCAGCGGGGCCTGCAACGGGGACAGCGGCTGCCACCCAGGTGTTGGGACCCGCTAACGGGCAGCTGTGTGCAGCAGGGTGGTAACCCAGCAGGAGGTGGTCTCACAGCTGCTCTTCAACAAACAGCCAGGGGTCAGCGGGGACACACCCACCACTAATCCACCCCGACCTTATCTCCGTTCCTGCGGCCCCTTGGGCCATGCAGGGGCAGCTCTGACCTCGCTGGCCCCCGCTGGCCGGGACCTCTGCTCCCACCCGGCACAGCCCCGCCTGCTCCTCCTCACTGCACTGGGGTGGAGCCAGGGCTGCTGCAGTGAGCCGCATACCCAGCGTTTTTTTTTTTTTTTTTAAATGGGGTCTCGTCATACAGTTCAGGCTGAACTTGAGCTCACTTTGTAGCCCAGGCTGGTCTCAAACTTGCAATGATCCTCCTGCTTCAGCCTCCCCAGTGCTGGGATTACAGGCATGCGCCACTACGCCCAGCAGATCCCAGCCTTTTAAAAATTTTTTGAGACAGGACTTTGCTAAGTCACTAAATCGCCCAGGGCACACTTGAACTTTTGATCCTCCTGCCTCAGCCTCCTAAAGTGCTCGATGACAGGCGTGTGCCATCGGCCACCAAGGACAGCTCTTCTCTCCCTTTTCTTTTGCAAGGACCCCGCCCAGGCACGGCTCCATCGCTGTGAGACCGTGGGATTCCTGACCGGCCGACCCTAATCCCGCTAGCTGAATGTCTGGTACAGGCAAGAAACATGTCTGCTTTTACAATTACGATTGCGGGGGAAAAAAGCACATAACGGAAAAACTCACCCCTTTACTCTTGCTAACCGCACCCTGGCTGAGCGGTGTTGTGACTGCCACGCCCCAGTGCCCTCGCTCCAGGCCCGGGAAGCCCCATTCCCCTCCCAGTCAGCTCCACAGCCACTGCCCTGGGAGTCCAGGGCACGCTCAGCTCCATCCGCAGCCCTTTCCAGTCCTGTCTGCTCTTTGACGATGAGGGTCTCGGCTCAACTGCACAAGCCAGCCTGGTTGAACTTGCGATCCTCCTGCCTCAGCCTCCTGAATCGCTGGAATTAATAGACACAGCCACCGGGGCCAGCTTTGAATATTCCTCCAACAGATAAAGGAACATCTGAATGAAGGATGAGTGACTCCCCCCAGGGTGTTTCCGGAATGACACGGACCAGACCGCAGAGGGGGCACGACCTCAGGGGTTCAGGTCTCCTGAGCAGGCCCGGCTCTTGCCCAGGGGGGTCGGGCCAAGGAGCAGGCGACACGGGGGGGGGGGGGAGAGGGGGGGGGCCAGGGGGGGGGGGGGCAGCTGGGGGTCGAAAGCCTCTCAGGGTCCGGAGCTCCGCGGGGCAGGGGGTGCTCGGCCGGGACGGGGAGCCTCGGTGTCACTCCCAGAGCCCCGCGGTTCAGGCCGACCCGCGCCACCCGAGTCCCTTTTCCCGCCCTAGTGACCTGCGTACGAGGGAACGGACTGGGGTCATGGTGGCCTGTCTGGTGGGTGCCTGGAAGGTGCACAGCCCACTCTCCAGTCCGCGGGATCCGATACCCACCATGCGCGCTTGGTTGTCCCCAGGAAGGGCCAGAGTCCTTTGGGGACCTCGAGGTGTCGAGGCCTGCGCCGCTGTCACTTAGCGCCTCCCTCCCGCCGCTGGCCTCAGGGCCTTTGCACCCACTGCTCCTGGGGTCCCGGGCGGCGAGAGGCGCGTCGTGGGAGGGCGGTGTGCTCCGGGCCCGCGCCGTGCGGAGGAGCAGCGGGAGGACGCCCG